AATACGTTTCAGTCAATGAGATTCAAGAACATATCTCAATTTCTTAAAAACAGCTATTAGTTTTCGCAGTCTATTACTCACAAGGTTTACGTGTAATTTAAAAGTTAGATTATTATCTAGCATAACGCCCAGGTACTTTAAGGCATTTGTTCTTTTGATTGGTTCACAAGAGCATTGTTCATTTACTGTCACGGTGCATGTATGGTACTTAATTTCAAAGAACTGCTGTATATCAAGGGAGCTGGTACGAATTCCGAAGTAAATATAATTAGTTTTTTTTTTGGCGTTTAATGTTAAAAAGTTATTACGTAGCCAAACAGTCACCTTATCAAATCCCTTTTGCGCTGCATTGTAGGTTTCACCTACGGATTTACAAGCAAATAATAAGACTGTGTCATCAGCGTAGGACACAATCCTACCATGAGGTAATTTCAACCTACAGAGGTAATTTCAACCTACAGAGTTCGTTAATATAAATTAGAAAAAGTGTTGGACCTAAAACACAGCTTTGAGGAACCCCATGCAAGACAGCTAAATCATCACTCATGCATCTCGAAACACTAACACATTGACATCTTTCCGATAGATAGTCCTTTAACAGTTTGTGCTGTGTACCACGGATACCTATTTTATATAGCTTATCCAGGAGTTCAGGAATACATACAGTATCGAAAGCTTTAGCTAAATCGAGAAAGATACCAATACATTTGTTCTTGTCATCTAGATTTTCAACAACGTAATCTATAACAGCATGCATAGCGTCACTTGTCGATTTACCGTGCATGAATCCAAATCGGTTATCTGTAATGATATTTTGATGTTCGAGATAGTTAAGGAGACGAGAATTAATAAGTTTTTTTTCCAAAATTTTGGACAGAGAGGGTAGAATTGAAATTGGTCTATAATTTGAAATGTTGCCACGACCTCCTCCCTTGTAGATGGGACTAACTATTGATTTTTTAAAGACTTTCGGGAAGACTCCGTGCCGGAAGCAATTGTTAAAGATGTGTGTTATGGGAGGCACAAAAAATTGTTTATGGGTTTTTAGTAACAGATTTGAAATTTTATCCCAACCCACTGAACATTCATTTTTTAAACCTGATATAAGTCTTTCGACTTCAACCTCATCAGTCTCCAGCAATACAAATTAATCATTTATACATATTTCTGGATAATTAAAATCTTCTGTAGTTTTATTAATTTGAATCCTATCCCTTAGCTCATAACCAACGTTAGCAAAGTAGGCATTTATTTCATTTACAGATAGTTCCGGAGGGATTGATATTGAGAGAAGCTCATTAGGTGATGTTTTTGTATTACTCGTAAAAGCGATATCGCGAATTGTTGCCCATAATTTTTTTATTATTTTTTTCTGCCTTTGTAACCAGTTCCTTATCATAAGCATTTTTATAGTCCTGAAAAGTCAATTACAATGATTTCTATATCGAATATATGATACTTTAAGTATTTCATTATCTGGTTGATTTTTTGTTTTTAAGTGTAGCTTATCACGAAATCGAATGCATCTTAAGAGACCTAATGTCATCCACGGCTTTATTATCCTTTTACTTCTCGGGACAGTAACTAATTTTGTGTTTCTTTCGATTGCAGATTTAACCTCATTTACGAAATAATAAGCTGCCATATCCGGGTCAAAGGAGTCATATACTGGTTTTAAATCAATATTCGATATGTCTTTATTTAATCCTTCCCAGTTAACTTTTCTAGCAATTCGTAGGTCATTTTTTTGATGGCTGACAAAAACAAAGTAACTGCTTTATGATCTGTAACGGTAGATTGTGATACAATAGTAAAAGAAGGTGTATTTGATTTGAGTAAAATATGATCTAAATATGAGTTACTTTGATCTCTGGTATGTTAAGTATGAGTAGGTAGTAACCCATGGAATGTTGCATCATTTGGTTTAAATAGTTTTCCGAGATATTGTCTATTTTTTCAGAATTTATTGGTAAATTAATATCACCGATTAATAGGACATTCTTAAACCCCGACACTTTACGTAACTCTTTGTCTAAAGATGATAAAAAAAGATCAATATCATCTTTTGAGCTGAAGGAAGGCGGTCGATATATTGCTAAGATTGCTATCCTTTTTTCAACTTTAATAAATTAAGGCTTATATTTGCTTTCAATTTTTAAATATAATAATTATAATTCATAATGAAACAAGTGAACGCAATTCAAGATTCCTAGACAGCGTAATTATGAGCACTAATTAACACAGTAGTGGTTTCTAATCGATACCATGTATCATGTGAGAGCAATGTTTGAACAATAAGCTAATTACGAATTACCAGTTGGATGCGAATTGTGGATTCATTACAGCGTTAATGCGCGTTGAAATTATGTGATCACGCGTTTGTTATGATCATCTGTATCATTCGCGTTGAAAAAAAGATTTTATTTGTGTCTTAAATTAACCTCGGTGAGGGACCTTTCAAAAGAAATATTTGAAAAGCCAAAACGTCCCTTACCTAACGCCTGTATACATACACGGCTTGGTTGCGCAGTTGCTGTTAGCTTCGGCATCGGGCGTCGTGGGTTCGATTTCAAGTGTTTTGTAAGTCCCACTGATAATAATTGTTCCAAATCTGTGCGTTTATTCCCAAGGATGACGTCAGACAGGCAGCCGATAGTAAAAAAACATAGCCATTACGACTAACAACATGCTTCAGATAGCGTGCTGACATCACCTAGTTGAAATATGGGCAGTATGTAATATGTATGGAGGAGCTTGCGTGTCTAAAAATTATAAAGATTTGTTTTAAGCTTCTTGGACAGAAGCGACACATAGTCATTGTTCATGGTTTTGTCAAGAGAATACGTAATGTAGAACTAGATTAGAACTTTAAAATGTTAGATTAGAACTTTAAAAGTTATGAGTTGTTTTTAAGTAATTTGTTGTATTTACGCAACTGCACATTGTAAATGAAACTATCTTTTTTATTGCGATTTTATTTTAACTGCCGACGTTTCGAAACCTTTTCAGCCTTTTTAAATGATAACACACTCTAGTAATGAATTGATCGCTCCAGGCTCTTTCAATCAGAGTTCTTATATTGTATTTGTAATGAATTCATGTCAAACTGTTTATTTAAAAAAGAAAAGCCCGCTGAGTTTCTTTCGCAGGTTCTTCTCAGTACAATGGCTTTCTTTTCCGAACCGGTGGTAGTATTTTGACTATCAATAAGCGAGTGTAATACTCCTATGTTGAATAAAGACATTGGAATTGATTTGATTTGAGCGTTCATGGTCACCGGGCGGAGTCTGTCTATGTGAGTTTTAAATTTAAAAATACACGCGATTAATTCTTAAAAATAGTCTCCCTTATTGCTGCTACCCGCGACTACATCTGCGTAGAATAGGCTGAACATATACATAAAAATATAGCCTATGTCTTATTCTGATGTATAAGCTATATTATTGTAAAGTTTCATTAAAACCCATTCAGTAGTATTTGCGTGAAAGAGTAACAAACATCCATCCATACATACAAACTTTCGCCTTTATAATATTAGTAAGGATGTTAATACATGTTTTCTTCCTTCTTTCTCCTGCCTTTATTCCACACTATGTGGGGTCGTCATAACATGTTCGTTTTCGTTCCGCTTTCGTCTATTAGCCGTCATCTCAATACTGGCCCCTTTGGGTCGTCATAACATGTACTTGTGTTCCGCTTTCGTCTATCAGCCGTCATCTCAATACTGGCCGTTCAGTTTCACAGACATATAATTCTTCTCACAGTCCATCCAAATATTTCACGGTCGTCCTCTAGTTTTGTACCCTTCAACCACATTCATATTCATGTTAAGACATGTTTTCACAAACGCAAAAATATTCTAACAATTTATTAAATAGAAAACATTATTAGGACATGACTGTACGTTAGTCAGTAACTTATTTTCACATGTTTACTTTTTCTTTTTAAGTATTAAAAATTATGTGTGCTAATACTTTAATTATACATTATTTTTGATTAAGCCCGCATTTAATCTATTTAAATTTATTACAATGAGGTACACGTAATCTCAATTATAGATAGTCACAGCATTCGACAGTAATTGTCGTATACATAGCTTAATTTTATTTAGCTAATCTAAAACAGAAGAACATAACATAACAAGTAAAAATATATATATAAAAAACAAGAATAAAAAATTTACGTTATTGTTACTCTCCTTGAATTGAGGTAGTTTAGGGTATATAAACTCTAGTAAGTGTTTAATATAATATGTATAATCTAGAATGTGTTTAATGTTCCATAAGCCATACAATTATGGTAGGTTTCTATTTAAATTGCACTGAACGAAGAATAAGAATGATTATATATTGAGAACATTTTTGTCTCTTAGGCAGTTTAAAATTAAAAAATATTCAAGTATATTTTGGCTTAAATTTTAAAAATATGTAATATCCCACTTTTATTAATGGCAACACATCTGTAATCCGTAAGGTGTTATAGACATCATTGAAATTTAATTCTTTGACTACCTAGTACTTATCATATAAATATCAAACTATCATATTATTACTTTTAATATTTTTATTCGTTATGGATTAAATTATTACGGGATAATCAAATATTGTATTTTGTACACTATTATCACATTACGTGTCGAAATTTATTTCAAAATTACTGATCTCAATATTTTAATTAGTTATGGTAAATATTTATAATAATAAAATCAAGTTCTAAATTGATCATTTAGCAGAATTTATTTTGTATCGAATGAGATCCTGACATCGTCTAAATACAATGGCATGTACGTGAGGAACGTGCAAACGCTACCGTAAGCATACGCGAAGATTCAAAAACCAAATCCGTTAGTTTTCGCGCCAAAATCGAACTTGACAGCCGACGCTGCGAACATTCCAACGCGTCGTCCAATTACGCGGTTCCGCGTTCTTCCTCCGAGCGAAGGTTGCGGCGTTGGTGGAGTGGAAAAAAGAAGCGTCGGGAGTTTAATCTCGCTAATAAACATGCTAACAAGGAGCCGGGACCTGTTGCGTGGCCGCGAGATGCGGCCGTCGCCAGCCAATGGCGGGGGAGCGTCCGCCCTCGGAGAGCCGCGATTGGCTGCTGCCGCCGTAGGGGGGGCGAACCCGGGGGGCAAACTTAGGCAGCCGGGCACAGACCGTGCCAGGCGAGAAAAGCGACCCGCCGAGCTTCCGCGAGCTTCCCGAAGGCGCGCGATTTCCCGATCACCACGCCGCGTTGATCACAGTACAACCGATGCCGCGGCTGACAGAGCGTCTATTAACTTAAAAAACTTAACGCAACATATTAGAGATCATCTAATAAACTTAATAATAACGACAATAAATTGAACGAAGTTTATAATCGCACTATCGTAATAGCTAATGTTGTTACAACAATTATAAAATGCACGGACGTAAACAGTGTGCGCGGTATTAGGGCAGCCTGTTGGTTACCGCGAGACATGTCGCTGGGCAAGCAGCCGGCTGAGCACATAAAGAGGCCGATGAACGCCTTCATGGTGTGGTCGAGGGGCCAGCGGCGGAAGATGGCGCAGGACAACCCGAAGATGCACAACTCGGAGATATCGAAGAGGCTGGGCGCCGAGTGGAAGCTGCTCACTGAGATGGAGAAGAGACCGTTCATAGACGAGGCGAAGAGGCTAAGGTTAGTGAATTGATTGTGAAAAAACTACGTATAATTAAAAAGAACGGTGATGATTAAACTTTGAAATTCCGTAAAAAGTATGCTAAAATATAAAAAATTAAAGCAACCACGATAACCTGTTTTTACACAAAAAAGTTTTGCGTGATTTATTTAAAGTTATTTCATTTTATTAATTAATAAAATTTAAATATGATTGGAATAAAGTTTTTTTAATTAATGAAAATTAAATATGAGTGGTATTAGAATGAGTAATAAAATTATTTCACTTAATTACATTTTGAATAAATTTTATTTAAATTACATATGTTATTTAATGAGTAAAATGTTAATATAACATTTCTTTTAAATCTATTGTATTTCAATTTAAATTTAAATAGTTGAGTAAAATTCCTTATTGCCTTTTTAAACAATATTTGATAGATTCGTGTTATGGTTCTCATAGGATTTCTTGAATTTATGCCATTTAGACTTCACATTATTTTTCCAAATTATTGGAATTTAAAAGAAAATTAACGCAACAAAATCTACAAATGAAACTTTTAGCGTTAGTTAAATTAATATTTTTTCGTATCCTATAAAAATGTAACATTAATACTGTAATATTAATGACTCACATACATACCTACAACTAGTTTTATTACTCGCGACTTAGAAGAATCCAAATGGCACTCTTGTCAAAACTATGGTTTACTCACCTCAAACTCAGTTTTCCTATCCATCGACTCGGCTATCATGAAACAAGAAGGTAAATTATATCTCAACACCAAAAAGATAATGGCTACTATAATAAGAATGTATATTATTAAATTTTTGCATAGATTTGCTGCTTATTGTTCTGTTTATATTGATGATAGGTTAACATCGAAATCCATTAAAAAGGAAAAGACTTAATCTCCAGTAATGTAAAAATGAGTGTTTTATTTGTAGGAAACTCGAGGGGAATTTATCATTTAGAAGCTTAAAACAATCCTATAAAAGCGTCTTGTTTTTATCATTCTAAGCAATAAAGACATTTTATAAATTGTAGTTACTTTACGAACCCAATTGATAGATTTTTTTAACGGTGAAACAGATATTGGAATTTCTAAAATAAACTTAATGAATTATATTTATAGACCAAATGTGTATAAATTAAATAAAAAATGAGAATTACATATATTAAAAATCATTTACTTTTGCGCAAATAACTTTCGATTTATTATTTATATTTTAGAGTTTGAACTTTTTATTCTTCAAAATTATATAAATTAATTAAACTATTTTTATTGAATAGACATCTTTATTTTACATTTTTATTCAATAATAATATCTAAATATAAATAAAAGTAGTTTCTTTCATCATCTTTAAATAGAATATGCGTTCAGATAAATCTACTGCAATATCAATACTAACAGTAGGAAATTCGTTATATGTCATAATAATAGAATTAACCGACATAATTATTTCAATCTAAAACTATCAAAATGTTCTTTGATTTTATTCGTTTGACTATGTTCCGGATAATTTAATCATTTGCGCAAAATACCGGTTGGTAACAATAAACACGCAATTACAAACATTTACCTATATAACATAATTACGGTTATTACATTATGTTTGTTGCGCATTAATTTCATGTTTTAACGTGATAACCTAGTAGTAATGGTAGAGGTGTTACGACCACACAACAGCTTTCGCTGTTGCATTAACGTGCCTCGCTTGCCACGGTTCACCTGAAGTTAAGTGATAACCGCTGCCGCTGATTGTCATACGCAACACCCGTAGGATCACAGACACGTTGCCAACTTTCAACAAAGCTGGCCCCGGCTACCTAACTCATAAGACGAAACGCAGAAGTACGCCATATCCACTTCACGCCGGTCTGTGACAGGTCGTGGTACTTGCCCGGACGGACCTGCCATTCGTGCAAGAGCGGAGACTGTTGCGCGACGATCTCTTTTTTCCCAAACCCGTGGGTTCTGGCTAGCCCACCGGTTCTGCGTCAGATGAAGCTTTAACAGTCTCGGGTCTGAAAGCAAAAACATCAGTTAATACAAGATACAAGACACTGTTGCGCGGCCCTACCACAGTTAAAGATGATTAGTTAACTACTAATATATAAGTAGAACTTATTACATAAACGATACACTATCGCAGAAAATATACATGTGTAGGAAGATTGATAGATATTTTATAGTTTTTACTCAGAAACCACGCCAGTCATTTTACCATGAACCTTTTACCATGTACCTTTTGGGAAGACTCAACTGAGGAAATACCACGGGCTCAGATTAGATCAGCGAGAGTTAAGTCTTATATTTTGCGTTTCTGATGAGGTACCTTCTTATAGCAAGCATCAGTTCCACCTACTGGGTGTTGTCGATGTAATATGGCAGCGGTAAAGATTTAACATAAGTTTAACCGCTTGCCCGTATGCCACGTACATGAAGTTAAAATTTATAAAAAATAGAAAAGTAGAAGTAGAAAGTTCTTATTTATAACCAAACTGAACACGATAGCAAGATTAAACAACAATCGTATTAGCATTTAAAAACACACACCCGTTGAATTGATACAAGCTTCGTATACCACGGACTAAAACAAACACAGAGTCAAAATCAAGTTATTTAATCTGCGATACACCTTTATTATCTTTTTAATTCTATGTCGCTGGCCAAACAGACGCTGACAAAACAAGCGAGCACACCTGTTACTTATCATTGTGGGAGACAAAAAGTTTATTTGCCATCCCGTGGCATTCCACCAGGCGGGCATAAATGAACGGTGGTATCATTTAAACACAAACAAGCAAATAAGGTCCGGATGTTTGAGACGCTTATCAAAATTTTGTTAACAAGCTTTGTTTCGCTTTCGCGTAAAATTTTTAATTCCCGCCCCCAACTACTAATATTTATGCTATTATACCACCCTTTACTTTACCTTTAAAATTTAACGCATTAGTTTTTTTCTTCATTAATTTTATTTTTATATTTGTGACATTTTTAGACGCAACTCAATTAGTTTAATTCTGTCCCGGATCATTTCATTATTTCTTGGATGTAATACGTAGTTTGGTTTTACAATCAATATCATGTTGAAAATTACTCAAAAATATTTTACCCCGTCGACCCACGTAACGACAGCCCATGTTATATCGAGTTACCATTATATTTTACGTTTCACTAAAACTTTTGCTTCGTTCTTCAATGCAAGTCTTTGTCTTTCCCTATTTTTAACAGTTGCGTGTGACCTGAGTGCGATAACAATTTGAAAACGAAGACATTACATTCTATAATAAAGAGTAAGAATGTCACTTAGGTAGTCGTTATATACCCAAAAATCGCACAGGGCCACAGGGTAACAAAAATCATCCAAGAGATAGCAATAAACGTGCTGCAAAGCTTCGTAGTCCGGCTTAACCTAGTTATCACAATAATTACCTGTAAATAAAATATGCCGGCAACATACATGTCAGCACTTGCTGCGTGGATCGGACGAAAATTAAAAATTCCAAGCCAACCATGAATGCCAAAAAGAAAACTTAATTTAAGAGTATACCGCGATAAAATCCGTAAAATAGTTTTAATAAATCATATCCGCGTAAATGATAAAAAAGCGCGCAGAAACGTATCTCATGCCACAAAGGCGTCAACTCAAAAAATGGCACAGATAAAAAAACCCAAATGCGAGTCGGACTCGCGCAAGAAGGGTTCCGTACCATTATCTATAAAAACGGCCAAAAAAATCATGTCTGCTGTATGGAAGCCCTACTTAAATATTTATCAATGTTGTTATGGCGGCAACAGAAATACATATCAGTGAAAATTTCAACTGTCTAACTATTACGGAGCCCAATTTTCAAAAGGTTGTCAACGCATCTGTGACCCTCGGGTCTGGCAGATGTCCATGAGCGGCGGTATTCACTTAACACCAGGTGAACCGTCTGCTCGTGACAACTTTTCGCATTAAAAAAAAAAATACGGTTCATGAGATACAGCCTGGTGACAGACAGACACAGACAGACCGACAAACAGCGAACTTACCCTTTGGGTACGGAACCCTAAAAACCCGCTCGACCGCGCCACCCCCTTGACCCCGCAATCAGATCGGCCGCAAGCAAATCGCAACTTAACAAATCAATTTAATCTGTGCCGCCGCCGTAAAGCCCGCCGCCGCCGAAGTGGCGCAATTATCTATTATTCGCAGCAATATCTTGCATTGTTAGGGGCGCGGCGCGTTATCGGGTAGCGGCAGGGCTATAAAAACCAGCTTACGCGTTCGGTCTAGCTCTTTGTGAAGACTGCGCGTTGGCGGTGGGGTTGAGGGCGTGTTTGTTAGCGAAGCGCCTGCCAAAGTTTCGACGATCGCTCCGTTTGCCGCGCTTTTGATTGCGTTTGCAACGTTTTGAAGTGAAAACTTCTTTAGGCGCGTTGAGAACTTTTTGGGTGAACAAAAATCATGACTCGCGAATAATGGAACTCGTTTTAATTATTACTACTATATTATATATTAATTATTGTTAACTTACTTAGTTTTCACTTCCCGGCAGTCGCAAAAGGCTGCCAAGTTTTTTTTTTTTTTTAATTTTAACTCTATCATATGGCTGCCGTTGCTGGCTGGATGATTGATTTCTTATTTTCTTTAGGGTTGCAAATGTAGATAATGAAAATAACACATCAAATTCTATAGGTATGGCACTAATTTATCGTATCTTCTCAAATATTTAATTCGGATGGTACCAACGTTACGTTTCAATCAAGCTTGTGTCTGTGCTGTTTTACTTCTAAAGATTTTATAATTTTGTTACGAAAGTACAAGTTGTGTTTTATTTATTTTTTAAGGTCTATCCACAAAATTACATGTTTTTAGAAACAGCATACAAGATTAACATAAAGTCAGGTTAAGAACAACATGCAATTTCAATTACAGACAGACACTGCATACACAGAGTATAGGTGCTTAAACAGTTAATAAAACAATGAAAAAATAAAGGAAAACCCTTTGGGGCTCCTTCTTCGTAAAAAAGTATCAATACATTTGCCAAACTATTATGTTGCCACATATTATACTAACGTAAGTTGAGAACTAATGAAAATCAGAGAAATCGCGAGAATGCGCGCGTAAATTTTGTAAACTTATGTATATGAACGTTATCTGCAAACTAAGCATAAAAATTCCAATAAAAATATGGAATTTCCCTAGTATTTTATAACAACCATAAGGTAGCGTACTAGGGAGAGTACGCTTTTCGTGACAGTGACAGATAAAATTTGGAAAGAAGAAATCTCTCGAATATGCTGTCTGAAGTGGCAATAGTCAGGCAATACTCAGACCGCCGTCTGAGTAGACGTGTTGTTCAGTGGAAGCCACGTTTGGGTACACGCAGAGTGGGATATCTCCTGGCGAGAAGAATTAATCTGCGCAAGCCTGCAATTGTCAACTGGGTGCTGACGTGCCTAGGACACGCTAGCAGCCTGTGGCAGACAGCTGCCTCAGGCTGGTAATGATGATGATAATACGGTAGCAATTAATCATAGACAATTAGTGAGGAAAACTTATTTAAAACAAAACCAGATACTTATCGACATATTATTACATCATTTTTAAATATATAATTATGCAGAAAGCAGTTTTCCCAATCTAAGGTATATATAATAGTTTAATAATGTCATGTGTATAAAATTTAAATGTTTATTGTGCTAATCTCTGCACTCATGATAAAAACATTTAAATTTGTAGAAAATAAGATGAAAAGTTTCTCGCCGTTGGCGTTGCGGGAATCGACCACACGTCTTCCGGATTTTTTAGTTGTTTATTTATTCCCATTTTTCTTCGTTAAACACACAGGGATTCTAGCCCTACGTATAGACTTATTCTATTAGGAATTAATTTAGTCCACTGTATTCTTTTCTTATCCCTATCTATAAGATGGAAGACTAATCGGTAAATATGACGACCCGAATGGCGTAATGGGTAGTGTACCTGCCTCCTGCGTCAGAGGGTATGGGTTCGATCCCCACTACTGGAAATATATTGATGTGTGATGAACATAGTGTTTTTCCAGTGTCTGGGTGTTTATATACATGTATAATATGTATTTATTTACAAAAAAAAAGTATGTTTATCAGTTATCTAGTACCCTTAGTACAAGCGTTGCTTAGTTTGGGACTATTTTTATTTATTTATTTAAAGATGTTTATCAACAATTGTTTACACTGGATACATCTTAAAGCTTACAATAAATAACTTAAGATTAAACATATGTTAGTGTAACAATTACTTAAAGATAAACACCACATGTACAAATAAAACTATAAAAGGGACTAGAGAGCGTTGTGTAAAAAAAAATGTGTCCTAAAATATTTATTTATATAAGTTCAAGCTACGTAGAAAGAGGGAATGGGGGCCGCTTATTTCTCTAAGCACTGGGGTCCTTGTCCACCTAGCTACGCCACTGTAGGTACTGATAGTCAATTGGCTGAATTTGGCACACTAAATAACGTGTTAATAAGCCTTCTAGCCTGAATAACCAATGGATAATAATATTTTGTTATACATTTATGAGGAATCGGAACAAGGTTTTGTCAGTAAATGGCAGAAACATAAGCGCACATCTGTTGACTACTAATAGAGAATTAAATTCGCTGTTTGGAACGGCAACAATCAGGTAACAGTAACGTCAACATTAGCCTATGAAGCTTCCATTCTTTTTATTGATAGGTATATTGTTTCATCTTGCTAACTGTCTACATATTTTGCAGTTTTGCCCACACACCACATGACATGTACCATATGCTGTTTTACCGACGCAGCCTAAACACCCCTACCGGAGTTCAATAAACTAGCCGTGCTTTTCCGAATGGCCATTAGGACACGTGGTGTGAAGTGACGACACTAAAAACTGTGAGCCCAGCTTGGCGCCGGCCCCGCTATCGGTCAACAATGCTCGAAAAGACGCTCCCATGTTTGCGTTCCTATTTATTTTTTTATCGTCTCCTATTTGAACGCGGCGTACAATCGAAAACTTACGGCCGCACAACGCCGTAAGTAATAAATCGTGAGATAACGGAATTTTACTATCAACGTCTCGCTATAGGAAATACAAATTTCTATAATATTTGGTAGTTAACTACGGCATCAGTTTTGTATCTGTTCATAGAAGCACTAGCAACCCGCCCCGGCTTCGTACGGGTGCAATGTATTATGCATATAAAACTTCCTCTTGAATCACTCTATTGAGTAAAAAAACCGCATCAAGATCCGTTGTGTAGTTTTAAAGATCTAAGCATACATAGAGACAGACAGAGAGCGGACGACTTTGTTTTATACTATGTAGTGATATATAGACAGTTTTCTTTCAGCACAGTTCTATTCCTGTAAAACAAAAGTTAATTATCTTTGTAAAGAGTCATTTGTAAGATTTCTAGCTGCATCCTCATTCGAAGATACTTTTTTTTGTGGAAACTTGTCAAGCGAGCCAGCGGTTCACCACCTTTAAAAATGTGGGCTCCGTTTACCTCACTCACCGGATGAATCGCGAAAGCTTAACACTTCCTCTACTTCCACCTCGAGCTGGTCTTCCGTGAGGCTATGGTACCTCCATGGACGCGCCTGCCCATTCGTGGACCAGTAGAAGTTGTTGAGTGGCCCTGACACAGTGAAAGACTTGGTGTTTTAGACTTGGGAATGTCTGAATCAAAAGCTGGATTAAATCAGTTTGCCTGTCTGTGCTCACGTAAGAAGGAGACAAGCGAGCAGATGGACTACCTGACGTTGTCCACCATCTTTACCTTTAAGAGGGGCCTGGCTACCTCACTCACCGTGCGATACGCAGAATTACAACACTTCCATGAGGTGGTGGTACTACCCTGGAAGAAGCTGTGCAGCAAGCAGCCAGCTGCGTAGCCACACAACGCCAACATTTGTGTTAACATTTTAAACTGTTAAACAGCGCTTGGTTTACAATTTTAACGTGCCAGCGTCTTCTTAGCTTATTTAGTAACTAATAGATATCAACTGTGAGCTTTTGTTATCGTTTTGACACTTGAAGAAATATTACCAGCTTCTGCCCGCGACTTCGTCCGCGTGGACAAGTTACTTTTGATGACAATTTTTTTACTAACGTAAAACAAATCGACTTCAAATATCTCGCTCTGTATTCATTTTATAATTGATTTTCGGGAGTTCCCCAAGTATCTCGGGAGCCCAAGATCCAATACCAATGAAATTAATATGGGACCACATGGGAAGCACCAGCTTTCAAATAAAAGAGTCACCAAAATTGGTACACTCAGTCGAAAGTTCTGAGGTAACAAACAAAAAAAAAGTACAGTCGAATTGAGAACCTTCTCCTTTTGAAGTCGGTTAAATATATTTAAAAATAACACGTACGTTAAGGAGTTATTTTAAGGACGTACATTATGCATCATATGCTGCCGGAGACTTTTTTAGATCTTTTAAAGAGGAACAAGTAAGCCGTGCATGATTTTTGTAAAACTTTAACTGTTAACGCAGCGAAAGCTCTCGAAAAATTCTTCATTAGTGCTCCGCCCCTATTGATCTTAGCGTGATGATATATATAGCCTATAGCCTTTCTCCATATATCAGCCATCTAACACTGAATGAATTTTTCAAATCGGACCACTAGTTCTTGAGATTGGCGCGTTCAAGCAAACAAACAAACAAACTCTTTAGCTTTATATTATTAGTATAGATTCAAGGTAATCTGAGCGACTTTCAATATGATAATTCGAAACGTCAGGAAATAAAATTAAAAATAAACGCGATAAATCCGTAAATATAATTTCGTTTACTTATACTTTCAATAGATTAAAACGATTATGATGAATAATATAGTTTATTCATCATTATTGTTTGTTGTTAAAATCTCTGCATCTTATTGTTTAAATTATACTTTTTTTTAATGTTTCATATTTATTATTGATTGATATAGGTGAGGGTCTCAGTGTTTAAAAAAATGATTAAAAAATAATAAAAAATGTTTTATCAGAAAAACGTGCACTAATTCCTCGATTACACTGAACAGGCGTAACACAGCTTACGACAAAATCTTTATTTTCATCCCCATATTTTTTATTTTTGTTATGACAATTATTATACTCAACACCCATGATGGCATGAATACAAATTAACTGGCTTCGTAACCCTAAACCCATTAATAAAATTTTCATAAATTTAAACTATAAAAAATAAAACTTAACTGAAAATATAAAAATGCACAATGCTTTTACAGCATTCATACAAATCTTTCTTTATATAAGATTAAAATGTTTATGAAGTATTTAATTAATACGGAATAAGACTTTTTTATTTCGAATTTATAAGTTACCGAACTTGCTTTGTTGTAGGACAAACATTTTGTATTAAACCATGCAATTGTTTGGCTTGTAAAATGTTTTTTTTAATCCGAATTATTTTGGGGTTTTATATTTTTTGGATATGTCATCCCCATTGTGACCATCTCATTTCTATACTTAGAAATACACTATATCTAAGTTATTGTAAGAACACAGAAGCTGCCCAACATAATTTTTTTGCATCATCTGAAATTGGCAGAGACAAGATTGACTGCGCAATTCCTATGTTGTAAGAGTTTATGTTCAAGGCTCCCATCATTTCCTCAAATAGGAGTTGTTTCTTTCAAAGCTCATGCTCTCTCAATTACATTGACATTCCATTATTGATTAATCAACTCATTTGTATCCAAATATTCACCCAAATAGGTCCTTCAAGGTTTAAGTGATGAGTGAGGTAAGCATACTCGTATGCAGAAACTCCCAGTCATAGGCCATTGTTCGATGAACATGATATATATGTTCTAAGTTACGGTCGTGCTGGTCGGAAAAAAAAATAATACACACCGGAAGGAGGTGATAAGAAATGAAAAGAAACAAAAACGCGACAGGGCATTATTGACCGGTAAACATGGGGAAATTCAATATTACGATACTGATATCGAGAATCGTATCGATGCAGCGATGTTTGCCCGACTCGATTAAGTCCAACGAAGGAGATACGCCAAAAAGTGCCCGATAAAAGCTAGGCTTTTTTCTCGGGGCCGAGATATTTTGTTATATTTTCCTTGCGCTTATCGTGTTTATTTGGCTCGCAAACACAGTAATGAAAGAATTGATAGTACGCCGGTCGACGACCCCGGCTATGTATATATCTATTTTTTTTAGTTCATTCCGAAGACGTTCTCGGAATCGATCGATGTTTGCTATTTGATATTGTCGCGGTTTGAATGGATAAAAAAATCAGTAGATAAAATGTGAATAAATTGTATTCGACGCTTTGTACCGTTTACGATGAGCCACAAATAAAATGGCTTTGTTGCGTTTTAGCTTTGTTGTCTGAAATTGACGTTTTGAGCTTTATTAAAATTAAAAGTAGGCATAAACATTTCTTAGCAATCAGTGCAAATTTCTTCAGATGGAGAATGCTCGAATGAATATTAGAAAACAAATTTTTATTTTAAGGTATACTGAGATCTACAAATAGAGAATTTACATTTTAGTATCCTTGCTCAATCGTGACAGTTCACCGTTCTACAGTTGGAGCCAGTTAAGTATTACATGAAGAATATATTTTATCGCATAACATATAGTATACATACAGCCTTTCAATTTTCTTAAGCGCTAACATGATTTGAGCACAGTAATTATTTACATTTAATTAACCAAAAACAGGTTAATTAACCAAACCAAATTATACAATGAAATAAAAATAATTGCTTAACTTTCTCGTTGCCAATTAATTTATATTGTAAAAGTTATTTTTATTCAACCTTTAATGCAATTCTTTCTTAAATAATCATAAAATCGACTGTTTATGGAAACAGGATATTTTAATATGGGTACAGTACGGGTAACATTAAATACTAGTCGAATGGATCTCAGCGACATACTAATGTATAGTTTTAAATAATTCTTTATTCTTATACACACATATTTTGTAAATATGGATTGATGGTAGCAGTAATAGACCAAATATTTTAAATATTGGCTGATATGACTTGTTGAGCTGAACACCGTACACTAATAACACCGTACACCCTGACGAACTTTGTCGAAGTTATACTTTTTAAAAAAAGAATTAATTAAAAACAAATAATTAAAAATAAAACAATAAGATTTTGGAAAAAAAATGTTTACGCTGCGCGTGCACACCGACATCGACAAGATGGAGTTTGTTACAGAGCGACCAATATTCGACCAACTCCACGATATTACCATGGCAATTAATAACAACTTTTTGACATTTACCTTTTATTCCGAATTTTTTTCATTAAGCCGTTATCAATTGCAGTTTATATCTTTAACGGGGATAACATTTTTAATTGTTTTTCTTTTGTTTGTGTTGTGTAGATGTATGACTTTTTACGTGCGTACATAAGTATACACATATTTTTTTTGTTCTATAAATGTTTGTAATTACATACGTAAAATATTAAAATTCTACATTGGATGCCAATATGAATGGAAACCATAGCCCTTAAATCGGCTTCACAGCCTAAAAAGAAGACAAGTGAGGAAGTGCAAGGGTTTATAGCCCAAAAACCTACTTGCAAAACTTGTGTTCAGTTACTATATAGATATTTTAATATATCTTATTTCTGACCAACAGGTAGTCGAGAAGCAATTTGTAAAAACATCAACCCAACACTAGACAATCGCCAACTAATCAGACGGAAAATACAATGCGAATAAATATACACATCGAACAAACAGCAACGGAGACCTCGAGAGCGGACTATCATCCACCCTCCGTCCATTCGAATAATTACAATCGACTCGCTGACAATCGCTCGATTCTATCACAAAGCTCGCATAATCGGACGCTGCGTCGCCACGGATCCCGTCACTGTAGGTCACAAGCACTCACGTCTGAATTTAAAAATCGAACCATATTGCGGGGTGTTTAAGTCCATATTCCGTCGGTGGCTGCGCGCACATAGTGATGGGCACGGAATAACGCCCGATTGTCATTCGGACAATGCAATAATCCGCGCATTGTTGAGTCGACATTGTTGTTTTAAGGGCGGCGCGAGCTCGCGACAATTGTGCGCTTTATTGCATAAATAATAATGTTACCCAGCCCACTGGCCGCTCATTGTGGCGTTTTGTTTGCGCAGCTTATGGAAATTATTTGCGGAAATCAAATAATTGGACCCGATACATACTTATTTCGACTTATTCGGGCACAATCGCGTGCGTAATTTAAGATTGACAACAAAGAATTTTTTTCGTTTTGATTTATTTTTCATTGGTTGCTTATATAATCACTTCGTTGTGGCACATCCAAGTCCAATTTAGACCCTTAACCAAGACCGCGACAAGTACGCGGTGAGAATTTACTAATTATATATTAATACAATATTAAGCTTTCTTCTGGTAGAAGTGCTTTACGATAAAGCTTCGCGTAAGCTTAGCTCTACCTACAACTCCTTTAGACATTTATTTCAGGACATCACGTTCACTTTTATGTTTTATTATTGGACACGTCTTCATATGCTATGTATATCTTTTGCAATATTTATAAGCTCTGTCTATTTAAGTATGTAATATTTTATAGAGTACTTAAGTATTTACTGGAAATTATGTGAATTACAAAGAAAGGGTCAAAGTTACTTTCCAGGGTTTTTATGAACCCGCTAAAACAACAAATAACAACAAATAAAATATTGTAGTATGTCAACCGCTCTAACCTTAACATATCCGAGTTGTGGTATTGCCAGGTAATAAATAGTAATAATACAAAACCTTTTATTTCACTCCGATTTGAAAAGAATAAAAATACAACACTTTTACAGATGATACAAAGTAATGAATTGTTTTATACGAGTAGAATAAAAAAAATTGCCAGGAATCTGTGCCCAGTTCGACCATTACTGACCACCGTCTCTCATCCCAGGGCGTTGCACATGAAGGAGCACCCCGACTACAAGTACCGGCCGCGAAGGAAGCCCAAGGCGCTGGTGAAGAAGGAGCCGAAGTTCGGCTTCGGCATCAGCGGCCTGATGGCGCCCGTGCCGCGCCTGATCACGCAGTCCATGCAGCACCCTGTGCCCCAGCTGCCCGTTCCGCACCACCTCCTGCCGGAGAAGCCGGACCTGGGGCGGGCGCTCTTCCCGCCGCTGCCCTACCCCTTCTATCCGTTCGCCAAGTTCCCTTCGGACGACGGGAAACTGGCCGCGGAGCTGGCCCATTTACAGGTGCGCCTGCTTTCACTTTCAAAGTGAAACGGAATAGTTATTCTGTTAACTTATGATTGGTTTAAACGCATGTTTTCCACAAAACCTAGTAGCGATGTAAATTTTGACCTAGCCAGAGACTCGTTAATTCCTTCATGAGATGCTTACCCGTATTACTAACGACGTAATTGCTAAATACACATTTTTTTTATTTGATTTGTAAAGGTCACCACTATCTTTACATGTAGTCACTATAAATGTAATTCTGTGAAGTAAAAATTGTTCCAGGATGGACAACGTATTTACTATCAGAGTGTTTAATAATCATTTCCAAGCATTGTCACCAAGCCTTGTAGAGGACACAAACCTGCCAGTTAAAATCTTTACAAGAAATTCGAAGATAATCAAGAGTCGGTATTGAGAAGAGTAGAGTCTAAACTTCTAATGTCAACCTTCGAATGCATCTTCATAAGCCTCTATTTGATATCATGGTTAAATTTCGTGATTATGGCAGTTTTACCCTGGTGACAAAAACTGCCATGATCACGTTATTTAACAACGTGAACGTATCAATAAGGAACCGTTATTCTCAAAGCCTCGGACCACTGGTATGCAAAGATGCACTGGTAAGCAGCTTCTATCACTGCAGGCGCTGTATGGCGGAGCGTTGTACAGCAGTGCGTTCTACAGCAGTGCGTTGTCACCTTGTGGCTGCCCTCCCAGGAGGACGCCCTCCCCCCCGCCGGACGTTAAGCGCCCTGTCGCCTACGTCCTGATGAAGAGCGACGAGGAACCACCCCAGCACGTCATATGAAGGCCGGTGCCGCTCCCAGCGAGGCCTCTGCCACTCTGGGAGCGACCCTCCACCTCCATGCAAGAGAGGGACAGTCCCGGCAGCGTCTAAGGTGAGACGGCTGTGGTCTACAGCGAGGGAGTGAGGGAGACGGCTGCCGAAGCGTCCACGGAAATTCCACGTGGTTCGCTGATGAGTCTAGTGGTAGACATTGACAATATAGAGACCATGAAGTTGGTACGTGAAATGGTGTTTTAATGACATGCCATTTGGCCAAGTGTTCTTCCAGTTAATGTTTGTTTTGTCATTTTATTTTGTGACGTTTATATTGTTACCGTGAAAGCGATCGTGGACATACACATCTGAATAGATGGTTAAGTGCAATGAGCTAGGTTGTTGGATAGTAATGTTGACTGAGGTAAACTAGATCTTATAAAGTTATCGACACAACACGTAAGGTATATCGAGAACAATCTAGTATTTAAAATTATGGATAGTTTTGTCAATAGGACACAACAAATCAATTCATTTGATATTGGAACAAGCGAACTCGTTTTATAATCAATTTCAATTTTACTTAAGTACGTACTAAACGTTTATATTGATGTGAACTATGAAACGTTACAATAAGACGCTGTATTTTTTTCTCTGAATATTTTTGGCATACCGTGCCTCAAATGTAAACAAATTGGACAAAGTCGTTAATGTAAATAAAAGTAGCTAATAGTAATATGAATACTTAAGAATCCTTTACTATAATTATTGTATAATGCCGTAGGTGTTGTTTTACAGGGATGATTGAAGATGAATTCAACGTCATTTCAACTTTTTTTTTGACACAATAGTGAAACAGATACAATTAACTTTCTTTAAGGTCACCTTATTTCTTGCAAATGAGATGGTTAAGCTAATTACCGTATTGCACAGATTACAGAGACAATATCGCAATAAGTAGCTAAAGTAGCCATTAGCAAAAAGGTCAATTTAAAATTTCTAATCCTAACAATGTGCATTTGTAACATGACATAAATGCCGCAAGATTTATATTTATAGGTAAAACTTTATCCTAATTATTAACGTTTTATTCCTTTCTTTTCGAAGTATGCAATTATTTATGGAAATTCTGCCTTTTACTTCTTTTTACTCTTTATAAAAGAAATCTAAAATCCACTTAACAACCCTGCGATATTTATTCTTTATGTGATAGCAATTATATCCGTGTTTTTAATATTTTGAAACTACCCTTATCCGCTGATCTCTTTTGTCGGAATATAGTCAACACTATTTTACTAATTACCATACCGAGCAATGAAAGCCTTAACGAGTGAGGAAATTCAGATGAAAAGTTTTTTAATGTAGTAAAAGTTTGATGAAATAGATCTCATGTGGAATGACATATCATAGAAAGTATTACTGTAAATAAAAAAAAATCATTTCATTGTCTGAGCAAACTAAAGAATAATTTCATTTAATGTTAATTTCCTGTATTTAACATACACTTCACTTCTTGAAATTCTGTAAGAAAATTAATCATTTCTAAATAATCAATCAATCAATGTAGTACGTAATAGAACTTTCTCATGGGCGATCATTCGGCATATATATATATATATGTATATATATGTATGTATATATGTTTTTTGTTTTTAATAAAACGTAAAGTACTATAACAATGAAGATGCAATGTCAATAATAATCATTAAATTTGTTTTTATGAGGTCTATTAATTAGGACAAGGGTTTTTAGATGATTTTGTAAATATGTCTTTGTTATGATTAAGTAGATTTGGGAGCACACATGTGACTAACTTAGAACAAGATGTAACTGCGATCTTTGTTCTAGATTTTGTTAATTTTCCTTTATTCGTAAAGATGTTATTATAATTAGAAACTTCAAACTTGAAGGTGATACGCAATAGATTGTATATTAATTAATAATTATAATATAAAATTGATATGAATTTTGTTTATTCCACCACACTTTCTCTAGCATCTAACATGTTTAATTAGTAATAGGGACTATAATATTGTACTGTATACATATCTTTTTTATATCTCTTGCTTTTCTTTATATTTTATTTTTATTTTTAATTCCATTATCCTTTCAAATAGTCCAAATATGTCATTTGGTGCCACAATCGTCTAGCACATTTCCCACCGAAGAACCTGTTTAAAAATAAAATATAGGGATAGTGTAAGAAAATTGTTCAGGTTATTATTGTTGGATTTGAATTTGTTTATTGTTATTTCATATAAGTTTGTTTTCAATCAGTTTAAAAAAAAACATAGATTTAACGCTCAATTTAAGTTTTGTACCAGGGTTTTAGTTAAAAACGACTGTGCTTTAAATAAATTTTTAAATAAAGCTGTTAGTTTTTCTTGCTTTTTACCTTACGAATTTATGCCAAATCTCTGCTATAAGGAGTTGTTTTTTTCTCACGGCTTAGTGAGTGATAGATCAGATCTTAATTAATTTTTTTAACAGCAGAATTAATTTTCATAATAAAAATTCTTTATTCCTCAGCACAATACATAGCATTACAGATTGTGGCATGCTGATTTAATAACTTTCCATGTAAATACAAATTCACAGTGCATTGCTAGTTTTAAATTTTAGAGTGTTTAATAATTTAGAGTGAGAGTTAATGAGAAATAAAGACTATATCTTAAAAGGTGAACATGTGTTAACATAATTATGTTACAACTTACATTTAACTTTAAAAATTCTAATTTAAGTTGTTTAAGTTAAGAAATTATTAAAAGAGAACAGAATTGTTCATACCATCCGTAGTGCTTTGTTGGGCGACTCTGAAGATACGCCACCAAACCGAATCTTAAGCATCCAGTTGCAGTCAACAGTCTTAATTAAGGCAAATAAATCTAATATAAATATTTCCGAACTGGATTACACAAAGTTATCCAGTCCCAAGCTAAGCAAGGCAAACTATTAGTACTACCAGTAGTACTCTGAGTTACATAAAAGTAAAGTAACAGCCTATACATGTCCCACCGCTGGGCAAAGGCCTCCTCTACACAGAGGGTATCAGGGCATAGTCCACCACGTGGTACCACTGCGGATTGGCGGACTTCACATATCTTCGAAAAATATATTTCTTTTTATTATTATTTCGAAAATATGCAGGTTTCCTCAGGATGTTTTCCTTCACCGCGGAGCACGTGATAAGTCAGCACTTAAAGTTAAAAACTTCATTGGTGCCGGCACCGGGGATCGAACTCAGGTTGCTAGAGTATATTGAATTAAAGGCGAGCCGCCCGGACACTGAGCTATCACGGCAGTATGTCTCCGAGTTACATACTAGTATGTTACTCAGAGACATACTTAAACATATCATTTTATTTAATAATAAATAAATAATAAATATTTTAGGACACATTTTTACACAACATTCTCTAGTCCCAAACTAAGCAAAGCTTGTACTATGGATACTAGAAAACTGATAAACATACTTAAACATACTTGTCTTTTGTAAATAAATACATATTATACATATATTAAGACACTAGAAAAATACTATATTCATCCCACAATATTTATCCAGTAGTGGGGATCGAACCCACACCCTCTGGCGCAGGAGGCAGGTACACTACCCACAACGCCATTCGGGTCGTCAAATGTAAATACTTTATTATTGATATGTAAATACTCAGACTAGAGAAATAATATGTTCATCGCAAAATACTCTTAAAGTACTACTACACTGCACCGAAGACATTGCCAAAAGTTTACAGCATCTAGCCTCGGACGTCATGCTCTATCGATCTGGACCTTGGGTATTATCATAGCTTTATCAGTGCGAAGGACAAAGCACGTCTCCGTTCACGAATTAGGCCTGAACTTATCGACAAAAATTCCATTCTTGTGTTGACATTCCTTGCAATGCGACAAAAGGGTTTGTCTTAGAGTTGCTAAACTTGAGTATTTTCAAGGATTACGCTAAGATGATGTTTATCGCCAAAGACTATAGCCATTCACAAGCAATAGGTGGTGTTCAAGCGATAGCCGGCTCAATGTATTGATAAAAAAGTCTCGGTAACCCAACAGCAAGAAAATTGGACAGCCGTCGATAGGAAAACACAAATAACTACTCCAGCGAAATTGGGAGCATAAACGAAAGAGACATGTGCCGACGCCCCAGCGCACTCGAAGCCCACTCGAGGAGTCAGCGGACCGGCGGCATCTTTCAAAACAACGAAGGGGGAGAGAAATTAATCCGGAACGCACTCGATTATAGACGGATAAACACTCAAGCTGCCGAGCGATAGTGCGTTACGCACATGTTCCAGTGATGACAAACCAACCGAGCTCGCTTGAAATTATGTTACTGCTTTCAAAGAATACCCAACACTACTTTATTTTTATCACACCCTTACTATTAGCATACATATCATATTTTACAGAAACAAATTACAACAGAATTTATATACATAACCTTTCTCATCTCTAAATACTATTAAAAGAGCGAGACGTGGGTTTCAAATAAATCGGATAATATCAAGGTAAACCTTAATTCACAGCAATACAATAGAAACAAATTCGTCAAGCCTTAGTCATTTGCATACTGCTGCATATACTATACAATTGTATCATTTTATTTTGAGAAACTTTTCTGGACCAACCCAAGGTTGATTGGAAGATAATGCTGGAGGCATTAAGTCCGCCTTTGTACACCTAAGTGTATTTAACTTAACCTTAAGGTTGTACATAAAGAATAAATAAATAAATATTATACAAATATAGAACTTGTTCACGTAATTATAAAAAAGCAAAAATAAAGAAACCTTTTATGATAACTGTATTTGTTAGCTTTAAGTTAAAAACCGAATAAATGGGGCTGTATTGCGACTTTTGCCTTTGTTAAATGATGTTTTTGATCTAAGCCATACTTGGTAAATCTTCGTCGTTCGCATTCATATGAAAACGACAACCATACATTTATACCTGAAGTACTAGACGACACACCTGCCAAGCAGGCCCGCTACCAGCTAGCGTGCAGTACC